AGTTGATCCAACGATGGTTGACCAGGAGTACAGCACAACAGAAACGCTCACTTTTTCCGGTTCATCCTTTGGCCAGTTCATGACACTGATTGTGACAAAATTGTCCGTTTTAGTCTGGCATGTTTGATAACACTACATTCTACCTAGAATAAATTTACGATGGCTTATTTTCCCTCCACTAGAGTGTGCTATTTTTTGACCAATAAAATAGTGTGGACGAGAGTTAATATTTGTTGTGGACAAAAAATCATTATATAGTTGTTAAAATTTCGGTTCGTGATGTCCCGGTGTTCGTCCACAGTCTGTGACAACAATCAAAACAGATTTTTGTTTTTTCTCTTGTTTTATCAACCTTATTACCGCTTCGTTCGTCCTAAGCGCTTACTTGGTGCACTCATCGTGTTCCATGTTATTTACTGCTTTCCGTGCTTTAGTTGGACTGATACATGTTAGTTGCAATGCCGTCTGTAGTTTGTGCACGCATTCCGTTACGTGTATGCGTCGGCATAGCAACAGCAAATTAGTTTGAATACACGAGATGTGATATCGCGAACCTGTTGATTGGACCTGGTATCGATAGGCTCGTCTTAACACGGAAATAGGCTATTATCAGATAGTTCCTTTTTCGTAGGCACGTTCATATCCGTTGTTTTGTGTGCTAACCCTAACTCTGACACTAAATTGCAAAGGTGACTTACGTCTCCCATCCCCCCAGTCAGTGAATGACTGATTGGGTTAACTAGGCCAAATTGGCTGTCCATGGAGTGTCTGTTCGTTGTCTGTATTGCGGTTATAGCGTGAATGGAATTAGAAAAGATAGCTGAGTTGCAGCGCCTGAACTGAATATCGGGATTATTTTTTAACTACTGATTGTACTGATTGTATTGAAACAGATTAAGACTCGAACCTCTTAGAATGTGACTATTTGTGGGTCGTGGGAGCACCAATTCACTGGTACATATCAGTTTATTTCCGGGTCAGTTCACAATCGAGTAAGAAAAACCTTCCGGTCGAACGTTGCTAATACTCGCGGGTCGACTTTAAAACGCTTTTTGTTCTGAACCACCAAATACAGTAAACAAATCAGGTTTTTAATTTTCCAACAAAAAAAGATGCAGAAACGTCTTTAATTAATAAAACCCATGGGTTTGTGATAGGACGTCGATAGATGGATCGCATAAATATCTCATTTTCCTTTTCACGTCTGCCCATTATAATTCGTTCTTTTTTATCTCTCTTTACAGATTGAAAAAGGTTTCGACTGGCACGAAAGAAGTCGACCAGAAGAAGCAGGTAACGTTTCTCATTGCACTCG